TAGACTGGATGCGAGTAGAAATGATCTTGATTTACGTCATTAAATATTCAAAATTCAGTCAAAGTGATGTCATATTTGAAATCTACATGTAAAAAATACATCTAAAAATATGGTTTCGAAAATTGTTTATCAACTTTGAAAATTTAACCTTTTTTGAAAATGTGACTTCTAGTTCGGGTTGATTCCCCATAGACCCCATATTAAAAAATCACAAAAAGTGAAATATCTTTTCTTGTATTGGACATATAACATTTTCTTTTACTGGACATACTTTAATTTGCATAACTATTCGATACATATAGACTAGAATCATATGATGATAAAAGCCTCTAGAAAATGAAAGTACTTATATTTCAACGAGCAGGCAAGAGACCTGTATCAAAATACTCCTTTATATATAACAAAAGATTTGTGAGATTTAACATGGTGAACGAGGTGTCAAAAGGCACTAATTAGACAATTAATTAAAATAATATTCTTCATCCCTTAACTAGTTCAAACAATACAATCAGTGTTGATCACCACATAAATAGTTGTGGTTAACTTGTCATTGTGCCAGGTTGGAGCTCTGCCAGCCAATCTAGTGTTACGATAATGGTACTCTTTCTGGTTTGATTGGCTTTATTGAACTAGTACGGTCTAGTACCAATAATCACCACTCACAATCATCTCCCTATCAAAATAGACTTGTTAGTCAATGGTTCAGACAGTGGGGTCTATCACACAGAAAACAGTATGCAGTTTCTGTACTAAATCCAGAAGAAGGTCAAACGTTATAAAAAGCTCAAAAGAAACAGTCGAACACAATAAAGAGACCCTTGAAAATACAATTGATGCATAACATCCAAACAGGATCTCTACAGATAATTCATAAATCATATGATATATTTTCAACAATGGGGAAGGTACAACTCCACAAAAGTTAAAATAGCACAATACATTTCTGATATACCAGTATAGTACACCCGGGATAGTACACAACCACCAGTATAATATAATTCTCGATAGTACCAACAATATCCATCATTGGGATTGGTATCACCTAATGTCAATGAAATGCAAAGATCATCGAGACTATTCTTTCAAAATTCAAACGTGATATAACATCAGTATCTATTTGGCATGCAGCATTCTCTCACAAGTGAATTATCTTCTGCTGCTTAGAGGAACATGTTCTTAGTTGTCAGATGTGAGAGAAAGAAATTGTGTGGAAACATTGAAAGTTGTAAATACAACCTGGTATACCCCATTGTTCAAAATGGCTGATCGATGACAGCCTGTGGTGATGATACTGAAGAATATGTTTCCATATAACATTGTATGTATCAATGTCAATTTTATAGTGTTATTTAGCAAACTGATCATTGTGTTTGCAAAGGTATTGAATATATTAAAGTATGCATTTTTGGTATGATATTCTTTACTTTTATGAATATTTGAATAATATAACTGAAGGAATATGACAAAATGTAGTACTGAATAAAATTGAATAAGAATATATTGTTATCTTTGGTGAAATGCTAATTCGAGTAGTAAACCTAAATATTGTCTCTATTAGTTATGCAAAAGTAGTAAATTGACTATTTATTCCACTATCCATATTATGCCAACCACTAAAGAAATCTCTAAAAGCTTCCCAAAATCGATCAAAAATGGTTTATTTTCACTTTTTTATACTCTGTAGCCAGATTGTATTTACTAAAATAAAATTTCTAAAAAAATTTAATGTTTTTCTGCAAAAAACACATTTTTTACCCAAAAACACATTTTGACACCTATTTTTTCTTGTTAAATCTCAGTATCAATTGAGAAACCATTTACCTTTCAATTAGTTAACATGAATTGCCTGCTCGTCAATAAGAGGTCATTATATTTTCAACGCATTGATTCTATTCTACATTCATTTCACTATGCCAACCACAAGAGAAATCTCTAAAACCTCTCCAAAATCACCCAAATTGATCAAAACTGATTTATTTTCACTTTTCCATAATCAACCAGACTGTATTTACTAAAATAAAATTTCTAAAAAAAAAATTTAATTTTTAAAAAAAAATCTGCAAAAAAACACATTTTTTACACAAAAACACATTTTGACACCTATTTCGTCTTGTTAAATCTCAGTATCAATTTAGGAACCCTTTTCCTTTCAATTAGTAAACATGACTTGCCTGCTCGACAAAATATAACATGTCATTATATTTTCAACCCCCTGATTCTAGTCTAATAAGGGCTATATGAAAAATTGAACCACTAAAACAGATGTAATTTAAGTTAAAGGGAACTTTCTACTATACCCGCCATGCTATCTGACCCAAGCGAGCCACCTGGTGATGAAATTGGTAACTACCTACTCGCATTTGCGTTATTGTGAATTTTAATGACGTAAATCAAGATTATTTCTACTCGCATCTAGGATATTGTGCATAAATTGTAATAGTAATCTCGAGCTCGCTAGCCTAAAGAAATGCTTTTTGGATAGCATATGATATGCTAGATTGTTTCAATAGTACTCCTTTGCAAGGTTTCTGTGCCACAGATAAATGACATTTTTTGAAAAATTAAATTCATAAAATATTGAAAGTTACTGCCTTGTTTCTATTCTAATACTGTAGAAAATGCAAAGTAATTATTTATTATTGCTAGTGTTTCACAATTTGAGATTTTTTCAAAAGCTTTTTTGCATGTTCCATAATGCTAAATACTGTGCACTGGTTAAAAGTGCAGATCTTAACTGTTTTTCGAAAAGCTGTTTATGTAACTTAAGTGAAGAATTAAATCGACGATTCTGTTGTCTTCTGAACTATTTGTTCGCACATATGTACATTTTCTTAAACATATGATACTGATACACGTTTGTATCTTACATATCTGCATATAGCACTAGCAGAAGATACCCTACAGTGCCTGAAATAAAATTTCAAAGAATTTGGCTTTTCTATTGCTGAGAAATTACTTGTTACTGAACCTACAAACGCTATGAAGTTCCCATTGCATTGCTCCGGTGTGGGATCTTTTGACATGCTATTATGATTTTCTTAGTACTCACATGGCATTAACTTGATCTTTTTCATAATTTTGTACCTTGCTAACGATACTCTTGGGCTACGTTGTGCGAATTTTCAGTGGATTTGATTATCAGTTGCCGAAAAAATACTTGCAAAAAGTGTCAGAATTTTTGGCACACCTGATATATTGGTGAATGGTATTAAGCAAAAATTTATTCAAGATGGCCCCCACTTTGAAAATGACGGGAATTTTTCCAATTCTAACCAAAACAATGAGTGTAACTGTTTGAAATGTTGATAGAAAATCCAATAAATATATCTTTTGACATTTATTCCTTGTTTTTTTATTACGACGCCCAGGGGCTGTGTACTGGGGGTCGGAAACGGGAATTTTCGTTAATATTTAGATAGTATCAAATGATAAGCAATTTAGAGTTGATTGTAACTACTATATCGGTTTTCTGATTGGAGACTGGGAGAATTCAAAATGGCCACCTAATGTGGAATTTTGCAATAATTTTCGTGATCTTTCCAAAGTAGTCCTCTGGCTATATTAGCATGGCGAGTATACTAGATATAGTAGAAGGTTCTATTTAACTTAAATATTCATCTGTTTTAGAGGTTCACTTTTCATATCACCCTTATGTATCTAATAGTTATGCAAATTAAAATATGTCCAGTAAAAGAAAAGGTAACATATCCATCAATACAAGAAAATATTTAACTTTTTGTGATTTTATAACATATATATATACGGTATGTGGAATCTCAATGGGAATTTTCAAAATAAAAAATTTCAATGTTGATAAACAATTTTCGAAACCATATTTCTAGATGTACTTTTACACGTAGATTTCAAATGTGACATCACCTTGACTGAGTTTTGAATTATTTAATGACGTAGACCAAGATTATTTCTACTCGCATCTAGTCTATATCATTTTTTCTGATTTGTACCTCGGAAAATACTCTCCTAAATCTAGGATTAAGGAAATTTTCCAAGTGCATTGGCATACCCTTACTTGCATATTTTTAATTTTGCGGTAACCAAATTATTTCTTACTGGAATTCGTGCCTGACAAAGTGAGTCTTAGAAGGTTGTAATAACTGAGCATTGTGACTTTTTAACTAGTGTTTATATATTTTACACGCAAATGCCTCTGTTTTAGCGAAACCCTGTGGATGGCATTGTGACAGTTGTGAGACATTAAGTCGTAAAAAGAAGCCGTTCGTTGTTACACTGTTTAAAAGGTGTAGGGGATGTCGGAAAGGTGGCGACATGACATCAGGTTTCTACAAATGCCCTGCATGTATACCTGCTAGGAGACTTCGACACGGCCATGAATGCTTCGACTGTAACATGAAAATGAATAAATAAAAAAATATATAAACTAACATGATAGATAAATATCGTATCGAATTTTTAGCATATCGTATCGAATATTAGCATCTGAGCAAGTTTTTTAACAATGTAATGATATCTCTGTGTGTGAGGACGAGCCTTTATACCTGTCTGACCACCTTCCCTTAAAGTTAACATTCACACTTAAGGAACCTTTACCGCAAAAACACGATATTAAATGTTCGGTAGATACTCGTGTCTCTTGGAAAAAGGTTACTGAACACAGTTGGCTCAAAAGCCAGCTGACGGGCCGCTCAAATATACCGTCTTGTGAAGTGGTTTACTCCAACTTCCAGCAGGCGCGCTGGAATAATTTAACGGTATTTAAGAACTTGCCCTTTTCATGACGCGTGGTGACAATAAGGCCTACTTGTTGTGTAATTTGCAGTTTAAGTGGAGGAATTCCAGAGCTGGTTCGCACCATTTTTTAACTTTTGCGCATGCGTCCACATGCGCATTGTATTTTGCATGCGCATGGGCATTGCCGCTAAAAGATCACGTGACTATTCATATTTAGCTAGTCCGAGTTATTTTGTAACAACTTTTTACTTTCAAGTCAAGAGATCTCGCGAGACCCAAAATGGCTACAATCTAAATTCAAAAGATTTGTTGTCTAATAGAACATTGATTTACTACAACAACAGAGTTAGTTTTGTAAGCATTTAAAACCTTACTGGCCCGAGACTCTGAAGACTATGGTTAAGCAAAAGAAACTAACATGGAAAAGATGGATACACATCCGTAGACCACGCCAAGCTGGAAATGTCCATTGGGAAGGGATAAACATGCAAAACGGTGTTTTAGGAAGGAATTTCGGAGGTGTGAAAGAGAATATGAGATAGTAGTAAATCCTCCATGCTGGGTTCAAACTTGGTACCCGGTACCCGGTCAAAAAAACCGGGTACCCCAAAAACGGGTGTGTAAAAACATACGTTTCTTTGCAGTAGACTAGAACAGGGATAAAGCTTGCAATCGTCATCAGCACGACATGACACGTCATCAGCACGACATCATCACTCCAAACACACGAAGAACATTCAGGGGCGTAGCCAGCTTTCAGTCAGGGGGGTGTGTGATCGTGACATACATGTAAGCAACGACTTAGATTTGCTTTGAATTTACAAAAATGTATGTAACTTCCTTCAAGGTTGAGCTAGAAGCTTCAAATAAAAAGCATTTCAAGGCTCTTTTCTTCCTCTATCATCATGGTCACCACTCCCCCCCCCCCCCCCCTTCCATATCATGCACCATCGCACCCCCTCCTGGCTACGCCTATGACATTGTAAGACGTAACTATTTACACTTCAGTGGACGCATGGTGGACGTTTCGTCGAAAATTGGGATAACTTAAATTATTATTAATAATCAAAATCTTACACGTTGCATCATGTAAATTTACACACGTCACCTCTCTGCTAAAGTAACGATAGTACAATAACGTTATTTCAAAGGGCAATATAGTGAAATATTGGACCAAGGGCCGCAAGCCCAAGGTCCAATATTTCACTATTTTGCCCGCAGAAATGACGTTATTACTATTATTACCACCGTTTATGCCCAGGGCTGAAATAGCAAATTTGAAATAGAAAATCTTACGCACTGAACGATACCACTTTTCCCGGGAAACATGCCCGGGCGGATAATGTCATTATTGCCCGACTAAAGCACGGTTATGGGAAGTCCTCCATATATTACTTATATTATTTGTCAGGTTACGCAGCTTCCATCCAAAATAAAAAATATGTATATTAAAAAAAATTATTTGTCTAGTTTTCGTTAAACAAATACCCTGAGACACATAGGGCCTGTAGAAAACACTAAACAGAAAAATAAAAAAAATATTCATATCTCCAAATCTGCTTTATTGGTCAGATAATGCACCAAATCATAATGGTTGTTCAAAATAAAAATTTAAAATAATCGAAATAGATTAATATTGGATGGAAGGGGGGGGGGTGGATTGAGGGGGGATTTATATGTCTTTACGATGGAACAAATTCACAAGAACTCGCGTATTTGAAAAAACTTAACTCAGTACCCCAGTAAGAAACTGGATATTATATCTCTGGAGAATAACAAATGGGAAAATTTGGAGTCATAAGAATAAATTCAAGTAGCATGTCTTATCATGTCTTACATATTACACGTGATCCCCCCTCCATCCAATATTAATTTATTTCGATTATTTTTTGTACATGGAAACTAACTTTAAAAAGTGAGCAATGCCATTAGTATTATGATAATAACGTCCCTTATACCTATTTATTACAGGTCGTGTAGACCTTTGCTGCCCGATTTATAGCAAAATCATTGACTTTTGCACGTTGGTGATGATGCGCCTTTTTTAATAGATCTCATATCTTAGAAGGGTATCAGTTCAAGAAAAATACTTGATGACCTAACATATTTTGCCATGCACTGCGCCTATTCATTTAGCAATTCAGTTGTAAATTTTCTCTTGAAAAAATAAATCTTCCAAATTTGTTGAGTTTTCTTGCAGAAATGGCCTAATCCCCCCTCCGTCCATTTTGTACGATCACCAGGCGTGATATTAATATACCCTTTCATTCTACCCAGAAACAACTGATATACCAACAACATTATTCCCTAAACCAGCCATTTGCCATTTGTATCTTAACCCAATTATACACCACAACCCGATCGGCACAGCCCATAACACAACATTTATAACCTATTACAACCAAACACAGCCTAGGTCACCAATCATACAGCAGTACAATAGAACATAACCAAGTGACATATACAGAACGCAATAGAGCATAACCCAGTACCAAAGCCAGCATAGCGCAACCTGACTTACAACCACCAAAACACAACCATCTGTCAAATTAACACAATATGTCACAACCCAATAATAAAACAACAAAGGAAAACACAAACCACTTGTTGAATTAATGCAGCACAATTGTGCACAACCCAACACTAAACAATTAAAACACAATCAGGCACAACCAATAAAACAAAACTAAACTAACAACCACGAAAACACAACGAACTGTGAAATTATCACCACCGGTTTGGCACAACCCAACGATAAACCGACAAAAGCAAACACAACCCATTGTTCAAAAAGCACAACACAATTTTTTTAAACCCAAAACCAAAACAAAATCAGACAAAAGCAATAAAACACAATCAAACTGTAATACCAATATAGACAACTAACTTACGAGACAACGCCAATCACACAATCAGATACCTCACCCGACTAGCCACAATCAGCTATCAAACATAATATATTCACAAGAGAACACAACCCATTATAAAATTAACATAATACAATGGGACACAACCCGATACTAAATCACCAGACTAACAACCATCAAAAGACAACCGACTCTCCGACTGACACAAAACAATTTAGCAGAAATAAATACCTACCTGACAGTAACCCACCATTACACAACCAGGTATACCGATATACTCAACTAATTTATTCCAACTGGAGACAACCGCAAAATACAATCAGGGACAACACGATATCTATGAATTACAACCACCCCCCCCCCCCCTCCACATCATCACAAGGCTGCTGATGAAGAACATCTCATGGACCACCCCCCAAGAGCTAGAAACATTTTGGTCCATGCCGTGACTCTTATGTAAAGGAGAAGGTCCGTTACAGGATCGGGATGTCAGGCCTTTCTTTACAAAAATGAAAATAGGAAATGACATGCAAACATCATCATCTTGGGATCACCCCTTGCTGTTATAGATGCAGATTCAAGGATATTTCTCCATACCCGAGACTGCTTCAATCATTGCCTAACAGTTGATTTTGATGTGGTTTATCCTGGTGGCAACTTGTGCTGAAAAACTGAAAATGTCAATTTGGATTGCATATGGTAGGGGGTAAATCCTTCCAATATCTACCTGCCCACAATATTACAAGACCACTTGGCCATGACCAAAGTTTAGCCCTCCCATTTTTTCGTGCAATCACTGGATTTGATGTGTCACCTTTGCATTTTACTACTACTCTGAATCATCTGATTTGAAGGAATGGAAGGTGTATACCAAGAGCTATTGCAGTTGTTTTTAAACTTTGAATCTTTTTTGAGAAACATTGCAGTTGTAGAGTCATTTGTTATTCTGATGCATTCTAATCCACAGTTTCTATCACCACATGAATGTGGATGGACTATTCCCACTGCTGATACTGAGGCCAAAACATATGAAAATGTAGGTCCTAGGAGGTGGATATCTGTATAATAACAAAAGATGTTGCATCCAAGGCATGCAAAGAACTTGATGTTTAAGGAGTGTTGAGGGAACATATGCAAATGTTTGAAATCATATCTCATTTGCTCTAGGTTATGTAGCCGTAGGGGAGACTGTCAGAATCTATAAATCCTGACCTGTTTGATTATGTTTTATGGATTTGGATTATATTTTCAAATGATTATATATCTAATCAAGGGTAATATGATAAAACAAAACTATATGCACCATTTTGAGCTAATTTGAGATGCATATACTACATATCTTGAAAATAATTAAGGTAAAATATGGTTACCCCTTGCCTTTTAGAAGCGAAAATGAAAATTTGGATTTTTAACAAATTTCCAATAATTTTTACATCTTATTAGGAATAATATGACAAAACAATGCTCTATGCATCATTTTGAGCCCATATGAGATGCATACATTGCATATTTTAAAAATTATTAAGGTAAAATAAGGCTACCCCTGAGCTGCATGCACTTAAAAATTGAAATTTCGAGAATTTTTTCTCAAAAAATACATGAGCCGTCCATCATATTTTTTTTTATCTGTGATAAACACTTAAACCTCTACTACTATGAATTTTTGCAGGACTATCAGACATCACATTCTTGAAATACAGTACTGGATGTCCTGTATTTGGCCCTTTAAACAACGAATTATTTCTAGATAATTGGGTTAAAATGAGTCTTTCTTGCTACAGACAACTTCTTAATTCGGTTTTACACAATTTTAAGACTCAAAGCAATCACCAAATGAAGTCATTTAAAGAAAAATACTTTAAAACCATTTTTATTTAATTTTTATAATATACCCCTCCCAGTCTGGTAGGGGCGGGGGGTCAGAGGCTAAAAAATCCATGAAGACCACCCCAAATCACTTGCCCTGAAATCATTTTTCACTCAGATCATATGATTCTACAACTGTGCCAAGTTTGTTGCTTTCCTGAAAAAGCCGAACAAAAAAGGACATCGGAACCCGCCATTGAAATCTACATATAAAATTAAATCTAGAAATGTGTTTGTGGAACTTTGAAAATTTAATTTTGAAAATGTGATTTCTAGTTTGAGGAGATTCTCCAAAGACTCCATGTTATAAAATCACAAAAAGTGAAATATCAATCGCCCATACAAATGCATCGCTAAACTTCCTAATATTTTCTTTTACTGGACATATTTTTATTTGTTTAACTATCAGGTTCATCAGGGTAATATGAAAATTGAAACACTAAAACTGATGAATATTCAAGTTTAAAGTGTCTCACATATTCGATCAAAATTTGCCATGCAAACATGTTAGTCTACTTAACTGGCCCCCCTTGCTGTAACAAGGAACACAAAACACATTAAAACGTAAACATAAACCAATTAGTCAGACGATCACTTCACTATGAAAGTTAGGGGTGTTCAAGGCAAATGTGTATTATCACACTACCCTACCTCGATAGCGCATGCGCGAATTTTTTGGCTTTCAACCACGTCGCTTTTGAGTATTTCGACTGCTTAGTCAAAAGGTTAATACATTTGGTGCTCGGAGTGAGTCAATATTGCTATTCGCTGAACTTCAGTTGTGCAATAGTGAAGTCCATATTCCAAGTTATACGATAGTTGAAGAAAGAATGTAAATAATATCGTTTTAAATTTTAAAATATTTGATATGTCATAGTACACGGTACACAGATGCAAAAGTTGATCAATACAGGGTACAAGGAATGTAAATTGCTCAATAGTACAGGGAGCGAGAAAGTAAGCTGATTATACAGACATACTATGTCCCGACCTCATGTACATTTACGTTGCAAACAGTGAAAATAATGCTAAAAAGGCCGCCTGTTGATGCTTTGAGGTGTCATCAATTGTTATTAAATCCAAATAAAGCAAACATTATTTTGTAGATTTAGACACGGGCTTTCAGGTCGTATACTAGTACGCATTTTAGTCATTAAAGAACGCTAGATTATACGTGTTACTAGGGTATCAAATTGAAATGAAATGACGAAATTAAATATGAACACGTTAATGATAAATGACTATCCGCTATCAGGATTAATGACTATCCGCTATTCAGAATAATTAAAATTGCCTGAACTACATGTAAAGAATCTTTTTATATAACCCCTCGAATGGTCTAATTCACTACCGTCCTCAAAAACGATCATTTAAAATATTTTGTTCAAAATACCACCATGCCACGACTTGAGAGCATTTTGTTCTTCATGATTTGCTGTAGCGCTGATATGACATCGTATTTCTCTATTATTGTAAAAAAACTAATACCAGATCGATGTAGTCTTATATGACGTGTTGAATGTCAGATGTTTTTGGATGGTATCTGCTCCAGTGATTTTGCATTTAATCATTAAACGCTCATCACAAGACACCTCGAAACAAACATCATCCTCTTTGTGACAAGAAGAAAAATGTTTCACAATATGTTATGCCTTAGTAAAGATACATTTCTGGGACGACGTTTTTTGCATCTTAAGATTTTAGAAAAACAATTAATTCACAAAAATACAGTTGAATAACATACTGGAAAACGTATACACATATAACACGATGACACGCAGTTTAAAAAACAGTTAACTGGTTTTTTTTTGTGACATATCAATGTAAAATTTTCGAAGGGAAACTTACATGCTCCCTGTACGTTGATAGATTTACTGAAATGTATCGTGTATTGCATTGAGTTTTGCTTCACTGCGCCCACTATTATCTATCTTTGCCTATAGTGTTTTTTTGCCAACAATTTTCTACAAACTGCTAGATGAATTAATTTTATGTCTGGTAGAATACTAGAAATAAATGTAAAATGCATTTTACGTTCAGAAATATGGAATTAAACCCACGTCCTCCATTTGCAACTTAGCTGTACCCTGTTTCCATTTTAAACGTGGTCACGTGGTAGGGTAGTGTGATTATACGCTGTGTGCATGGACTAACACAATGTCAGTGGTCATTTACTGTGTCAACTTAGTAACCCTTGCATATCGTGCTCACTCAAGTATTGAATGATTTTTTTATGATCTAAATGTTTGTGGTTTATAAAAAAATGTGATATATTTTAGTTGGAAATACATTAATAAATATATTCATTCAATCAGCACTAGAATGCGGGAAGAAAGAGCAATGGTGACAAAATGCAGACCGGATTTTCCGTAAGGGTTTCAAACATTTCTGGACACAATCATACATGTACTTCATGTGTTCTGTTATTTTTAGTGCTGTATTTATAGATATAATTTCACGTATTAAAATCATATTTTCCAGCAATGACTTCAAATTCGGAACCACCCCCATATCACATTTTCTTCAATAACTCCAAACATGTGTAAACATTGACCATGTGCATATAAATTCAGATTTCACGAGCTCTTTTCTATTCGAGTACCTCATACACCCCTGCATGGATTTGAGTTGGATTCGCCTTTTATACGTGAGCCGGTACACATCGCAAACGCTGATTGGATAAAGATTGCGAGAATCTTTAAGGGAACTTTCAAATACCTTGCCATGTTATCGGCCCCGAATTAGCCTCCTAGCAGTGAAACTACTAACTGCCTATTCGCATCTGGGTTATTACATGGTAAAATCAGATCATCAGGTGATATACAGAATATAGTTTGTGGTAAGATAATGTCATCTTCAAGAACGAAGTCATATTCCAATGGGTCTAGCTGAGTATTTGATAAAATATGTATATGTATTTGCATATGAGTTCCAATATGGATAGGACTGGACTAGCATGGACCATTTAATGTAGTTGCCTAGAATTCAAAAATGACCTATGCATGAAAATTTCAAACATGTTTCTTTTTTCACAAAAAGTGAAAAAGCTATGAGCAAAGTTTACAATTTCAAGGATATTTTCGAGCCCAAGTTTTCAATGAAACATAAGTTATACAGTGAGTTACAGAAGCTAGTGTACGTATCCCCACCTATATAAGGGGTATTTCGAGGGGTAAATCAATAATTTCTGCTTAAATTTTATTTTATTATTTATTTTAAATGAATTACAGGCATCTACAGGGTGGGCCAAAAAAACCACCCCCCTGGCCAATATTTCTGATAAATATTCAATTTTTAACATGCACACCAAGAATGATATATCATTTTAAAGATAATTTAATTTGCAACAAAATGATATATAATAGAACAATTTTCAACAACTCTGGCTCGAGATATAACCATTTATGTGACATGGGGGTCAAAAAACACCTTTTCAATTTTCGTCGATTTTGCGAACAATTGCCTATTTCTACCAAATTTTAGTAAATTACAACATTGTCATGAGTCTTTCATAATTGGATATTATATATTATTTTCATTCAACTTTTGAACGACACATGCTCAATATACATGTGTATGCTTAAAAAACTAATTCATTTCTTCTTCAGTCTGTCAAAATATGGCTCAATAGACTCACCCCCGGACCCAACTTCTGATTTGATTTCTCGCTTAAATCGCGAAAGCCATCGGTATAATTGATGGACCTCTGCAGAAGTACCATCCAACACCTAATTATTCATTCTATCAGTATGTCTACACCCCTGATGGGCTAGGGATCTCCATAGACCAACTGTTCTAAATGCCCCAAGTACTATACATGTAATCAAAAGGCTATACTCTATATCAGTAAGCAAGAATAGTGACATTTGCGATAAAAGGCTACTCAAATCGAGATGACATTTTTTCTGAAAGGTAGGTGGTGTCCACTCGGTGTTTCCCAAAAAGGAAAGACCATACAGGCCCTGTTTTTTGAACAAGAAGCAAAAATATACTCTGAATGTTAATGACATGAGGTGGTAAAAAAGGACTCCTCAAGAATATAAAAATCATGTGAAAGAAATTTCATTTTCTGATAGAACAGTGCTCCATCACACAGGTCCAATGACCCTGGAGTTTTTGGAGATTCGAAATATCACCATCTCTAGCCCAGAAAAATGGCTTACTGGCAGTCCAGTTGCCAATAATGTTGATTCCCATACCTGGAGGCATCTAGAACAGTTGGTATTTAAATATACCCAGCCTATCAGGGATGTAGAGGAACTAAAAGAAAGAATAACTAGCAGTTGAATGGTACTTCCGCATACATCCATCAATTATGCCATCAACCAATGGCTTCCGCGTCTTAAGCGAATAATCCAATCAGAGGATGGGTCCGGGGGGTGGGTCTATTGAGCTATTTTTGGACAGACTGAAGAAGAAATGAATTAGTTTTATAAGCATACACATGTATATTGAGCACGTGTGTTTCAAAAACTGAATGAAAACAATATATAATATCCAATTATGAAAGACTCATGACAATGTCGTAATTTACTAAAATTTGGTAGAAATAGGCAATTGTTCGCAAAATCGACGAAAATTGAAAAGGTGTTTTTTGACCCCCATGTCACATAAATGGTCATATTTCTATATGGGGTTGTTGAAAATGGTGCTATTATATATCATTTTGTTGCTAATTAAATTATCTTTAATATGATATATCATTGTTGGTGTGCATGTTAAAAAATAAATATTTATCAGGAATATTGGCTAGGGGGGTGGTTTTTTTTGGCCCACCCTGTATATTGGTCTTAAATGAAAGAAAACTATTAATACTATGCATGGGGATAAGGTGTGGAAAGTAAATTGAAAATTATAGATGATGGTTTCTCTGAAAATAATACGAAACCAAATTATATGCAAATACGTTTTATTTTTTCTCAAAAAGCGATAAAGCTATGAACATAGGGTTACTGGGTCTCTCAACAGCATAATTGTACATATTCAGGAATATGTTTAAGTCCGAATCCTGAATTACGCAAAAGTTAGGGAAGTTAACTTAAAGGCAAAATCTGATCTATAGGGGGTGACAAAGTTACAAGCAACGTGCATAATTGACCTACCAATCTATTCCTTACAATATCAAATACAATATCTCCCAAAAGATTCACAATATGTTATAAATTGGTGAAGTTATTAATGATTCAAAGTGCAAAAATGGGTGAAAAATGTTTAAATTCTCCCAAATAATAAGAATGGTAACCATTCTTATAGAAAAATAATACATTATTGTAAAAATCTTTAGTTTTCCTTGAATAAAGTATGCACTTTTGTGATTTTTAGAAAATAGACATGACAAGGAATGACATGAGCCAAAAATATTCTAAAATTGACACAATTTTTTGTTTAGCATGCTCGCTATCTCTGATTCTCTCTTTAAGTACCTCGTTTAAAATAATAGGCGTTTTAAGGGGTTAACAACTTTTTCTCCATTAATGATGATTTTCACACATTGAAAAAAATGTTTATGCAAAATTTAATGTATCATTGATCAATTTAAGCTATTTGAGGTGTTTTTCTGTTTAGGTTATGAAAATAATAATTAAAGTTAAAATTAAATTTGGGGGTAAATTGTAGGGGGCGCCAACTTTAGGACCAGTTTTCACATTCGTTGCCGGGGCTAGCACAGAGAACCCAAGCTCAAAATAAGCCCAAAACCTTGTTTTACATGAATCCAGTGAGAAACTTAGGGGACAAATAATACTATGTTTTCAATAATTGGTTTAAGAGAAAAACATTGTTGAATCCAGTTCACCATATCGATACCTATTTAACACGTTCCTTTTTGTAATGTTGACTGATTAGCAACAATTTAATGCAAAAACTGTTTTTGTTAACATTTTTTGTTTTTTAGTGCAATTGTTTTTTGTTCCCTTCTACCAATTCTTGAGAATGTCGGAACAAAATAATAACATATACAACACGTTCTTAGACCTCTAAATATTATAGTTATACAAATGAAATGTTGGTTGATTTCTGAAAAAGTATGCAAAAATTTAAAACAAAACCCCGCAAAATGGGTAAAAATTAAGATAAACCTTTTATTTCATTAACAAGATACTTTTTAAAAATCAACCAAATTTTCCTTTGTACAATTACAATATTGAGAGACCTAAACACAACATTTTGTTCCAATGAGGTTCGGATAGATGTTTCATTTCATTCCGAACATATGACACCAAGAAAGAAAGAGGTGTCTGATGTGTTTTCTAAAAAATGTATATATATAATTATGATTATAATGTTACCATCCAAAAGATGACCATTAAATTGACGATGTGTAAAATTTTCAGAATATTTTGAAGACTGGTTTAAGAGAAACGCGTGTTCAAAAAGTTCACCATATCGATACCACTCCTTTTTTATGTCCCCACCACATAGTGTGGGGCCATATTGTCGGCCTAGGCGCGTCCGTCTGTCTGTCCGTACGTCCGTCCGTACGTCCGGCAGTTTTCTCCAAAACCGCTACAGATACCTACTTCCTGTCGGCCATTTTGAAGTCAAATGCTAAAATCCTTGTCTGCAAACAGCTTCACAGTTGCTTTTAAAACTTTAAAATCTTGTTCAGCTCACTTCATTCCAGATCTGATTAGGTTTTGGTCCTGTTAGCTCAGTCATGATCAGCCATTTTGAATGTTTTAAGAAAAGTTAGCGATAACACTTTGTATCATATTGAATGGTGTTTTTCAGTTGTCATACTTTAACTATTTTGTAGCTTTATAAATAATTTCAGGTGTACTTTGTTGTAAAAGCCTATGTTATTATTAACAGGAGCTATATGTGATAATTGTGTAAAAAGAAATCAGCAAAAACTCATAATCATTTTTTTATTGTCGGCCATTTTGGATTTTCCATCCTAAAATCTTGTCTGTAAAGTCTTGTCTACGCGTTTTCAGGTAACCCGTTTGGTAGATCAGTTTCAAATTTTTTTTCAAAGGGATGATTCTTAGTATGAAAATCTCTGATTAGTTTTTGGGCATTCTGGGTAAATGTCAAGGCAGCCATTTTGGATTTTCCGTCCTAAAATCTTGCCCGTCAAGTCTTGTCTACGCGTTTCAGGTGAACCGTTTGGTAGATCAATTTAAAATTTTCAGAGATAATTCTTAGTATGAAAATCTAGATCTGATTAGTTTTTTGGAATTCTGGGTAAATGTCAAGGTAGCCATTTTGGATTTTCTGTCCTAAAATCTTGTCTGTAAAGTCTTGTCTATGCATTTCCAGGTGAACTGTTTGGTAGATCAATTTCAAATTTTCAGGGATGATTCTTAGTAAGAAAATCTAGAACAAATTAGTTTTTTGGCATTCTGAATAAATTTCAAGGCAGCCATTTTGGATTTTCTGTCATCAATTTTTGTCTGTAAAGTCTTGTTTACATGTTTTCAGGTTAACTGTGACGGATCAATTTCAAATTGTCAGGGGTGGTTCTTAGTATGAAAATCTAAAACTGACAAATTTTTGGGCATTCTGGGTAAATTTTAAGGTGGCCATTTTGGATTTTCCGTCCTCAAATTGTGTCGGTAAAGTCTTGTCTACTCATTTTAAGGATAACCATTTGATGGGATCATCCATAGGTGGGGACATTTTGTACACATTTGTGTTCTTGTTAAAATTTGCTCAGCTGCTGACCTATATCGTAATTGACGATATTTTCGAGAAACGGGTTCCTGATATTGTTCGAATATCAAAGCATTACGTCAACTAAAAAGTGGTTGAATTCGACGAAAACAAAAATCATCGTAATCAACACGAACCGTCCGCTATCTTGGATGCGGAGGTTACGGTCTTTACCTTCGCTGATACTGACCAGTGGACATTTTCAGATGACAAGTTATCGTTTTAATTTTCTTTCTGTTTCAAAGATGTCAGTGAAAAAAGAAATATCCCTTAAATCCGCTTAAAAGATTTACAGTAATTCAATATAAAGCTTAAATAGTTCTATTAAGACTTCAATAAGTTGTCAGTTGCACTGTTTTGGATACAAAGTGATGTATTGTTTGAATTGCAAACTTGTGTGCGCTTTACAGTGTGGCAAGCCATCGCTGGTTTCGGCTGGTTTCCTAACGTTGTGTCAAAGGCCCGCTTGTTTCTTTCTTTTGTTGTTTATTGATTTGTTTGTTTGAAGTCATGTTCTTGTGAAGTTAATGTCTTGCGAATTATTCAAGTTCAATGATTTTAGAATGGTTCATATTTTATGAAATAAATTTCCACTATTGTAATTTTAGGTCTCGGTCATGATGAACTTCTACAAATGTACTTTTGAAGGCACTTTCTGTGAATACATGTATATCTGTGTATAGTTTTCTTATTGTTGATTGGGTCTATGATTTTTGGGGTCTTTCTTGTTTTCATTGCAATAGACTACGTGTTGCAACTTCGAATGTTGAACATAAACTTTGCATTCATTAAAATCCGTGATTCATTCCATATCATGAAGCTTGGTACTAAATATTATATGTACACTTCATGATGTAGTAGCAGTATCCATGTCTGTTATCTTGCATTAATTGAGACTGGCCATTATCACTTATTTTCTTGTATTTATCACGCCAAGACCTCGCATTGTTCACAATCATGATCGTCGTGTCATTGTGTAAAATACCAAATTAGGGCCTGCGACGTTTTCACATTATTTGTTTTAGCTTTGTTTGTTCTTGGCTCATTGACATTAATCAGAGACAATGGCATGGTACCTTTTTACATAGTTGAGTCCCTAATTGGATATCATGATCTTATTTAATATATATCATATCGGAATTTCGGAATTTCGGAAAAAATATTAGAAATATATTGTTCTTCTTTTTGCACAGTTATGAATTCTTTTTATATTAATTCATAGGTATTTTTAATAACTGCGCTTTAAATAATACACAAGTTAGTGTTCATGCAGCTCATTAAGATTTTAATAATGGTTGTGTCATCGCTTAATTTGCATTGGTTATTACCCTGCGCGCAGAGTCTAGTAAAACTAAGAAGACGAAGTTCTCTTTTAAAAAGTGAAAGTCAAACGAATGTAAAGGGTAATTGGTCATAGTTTATACCACAAGATCTAATTATGACTCGAGATTCGCAGTTCGAGATATGTGATATTGTATTAAACATGTATATGCATGGATTTATTCTCGCCATTTCTATGGCAAAAATCGTATAGAGCATTTCTAGAGCTTGAAAGTATATAACATGATTTGCTCAAATCCGACTAATTCGCAATTGGGTATATATAATACCTAATAGGTTCACTGACGAAACGTCACCAAAACACACAATGTTGAAAGGCTCGTTGCTGGAGCGATAATACCCAAAGACAGGACCAATTCTTTGTCCTTTAACTTTACTTTGGGCTTTTGTCAATAAGCTCCGTTTATATTGTTATTTGTGTGGACTTAGGGTTTTATTAACTATAGGGCCACCATTTTAAGTATACGGCGACATTTTGGATTTCTCCAATTGTGAAAATATCAATTTTATGAACGTCTAGAAATATGGATTTAGTATTGGATGTTGAAAATAAAGTGTTTGGATAACTCGCAGTTAACGTTGAATTCTATGTGGTGATACACTGTAGACGTGTTTATGGTATCGGCGTATTGTTTGGATTATTCTCAGGTAATGATAGGCGAGAATTGTTGGAATTGATCCTGATTCAACAGTGTGCTCTAGTGGAGCATCGATCTACAATCACTAAGCAGCCGAGCACGTAGAACCTCTGGATGTATACCTCTCGATATTAAAATGTCATAAAACATGGGATAGATGATTCAAATTCAATGGTAAGTAGAATATTTTATTAAAAAGAAGATCAACTGTAAGTATTATTAATATGTTATCGTTTTTATTTTTCTTATGAATAGTAAAGGAGTATTTGCAATCGGAGAAATGATTGTTTGATAATTATTTCGATTTACAATACTTGCATTATCATAGTCTATTAACTTGAACACTTTTCATACACATCTATTTTTGTTAAATTAAATCCCCATTGAATATGCCTTTCTCGAGAATATTAGTAGTTGTTTATGATATGCATGAATCTAATTATAAACATGAGAAATGTACTGTCCAATTATTTCCAAGTTTACGTTTGTTCCCAATTAACTTCAGTTAAGCTGTGAAATGTTATCGTAGACTGGTTATTGAGGTATACATATTAACGCGGGTTTGTGATATACTTTTTCTTCGGATTGAGGTTAACATGGTTCTGTGACACGTTCATGCTGATTGAGGTTAACATGGTTTTACGACACGATCATGCTGGTTGAGGTTAACATGGTTCTTTGACACGATCATGCTGATTGAGGTTAACATGGTTTTACGACACGATCATGCTGGTTGAGGTTAACATGGTTCTTTGACACGATCATGCTGATTGAGGTTAACATGGTTCTATGACGCAATCATGCTGATTGAGGTTAACATGGTTACGTTCTTTGACACGTTCATGCTGATTGAGGTTAACATGGTTTTATGACACGATTATGCTGGTTGAGGTTAACATGGTTCTGTGATTTATAAGAATCTGTCAATGCTGATCAAGGTATAACATATTTTAACAATATTTGGAAAATCAGATGACTGTCCAAGTTTATCAGCTTCAACATTTTCATAACTATTGACAATGCTAAATAATAGTCATGCAAACGTATACTTTACATGCAAAAACACTTTTGAAATTCCCAAAATTCGAAAAAACGCGCACATGTTCATTGTAAACAGGAAGCGTCTTTACTCAGTTACTTGTAAGTCGTCTACTTTGGTGGCTGTAGAATGATTTGTGCTCGTGTTTATGTCATTTTATCATTATATATACTGGATGAGACTCGTGAGAAATGGCCTGCCAAGTAATTACAGTTCCTAATCAGGATATTCTACATATTTTGTATTTGTGAAAATGAAATTTAGTATAGACTGTACAATATCAAACCGTTACTTGAAACGTTGACGCTTTGTTGAGTATTACTATTGTTTGTTGTTAAACTGATTGAATGAGCTACTAGTTTCAATCTCTTAATTTCAAGCATCAAATTACTTGGTGACCTCATGTTCAATACGGCTTAAGGTAGGTCAAGTATATTGTGTAATCAAAATTTGGACCATAAACCTCCAGACTTGCATGCCAATCATATTCTATCTCATCATTCTGCATGTTTATTTAATTTACGATGCTCTTTTAGAGAGGGGACGGTTTGGTAAAGTGACGGGAGCACCTCAACATGTCCAAAAGGCTAGGGATAGTAAGCCATGGAGTCTCAAAATATCGGGATGATGATTCCCATTCAAGACACAGCGAGCTTAGCGACATTGTTGACAAGGCAGATGAAGAACGCGGAAAGGACGCTACTGAGAAAACCAGTATTAAAAGTTTAGAAAACTCTCCAGATGATGGTACCACCATTACGGTACCACAGACGGCGGATGCTGTCAACGAGGATAAAGACGCTGACGTAGATGCAACAGTGAGCAATGACACTGGTCACGCCTCTGGGTCCCGGGGAGATCTGGAGGAGATACCAAATGAGGAAAATGATGACGATAAAGAAGACGATGAAGATGAAGAGGAATCGTTTGTTTTATTCACTAGGAAATCATATGAAAATCTAGTCCATAGAGATATTGAACGTAAACAAAGAGAGAAAGAGAAGGCCAAGCCTAAGGAGGGGCGTTTAGTTGACGGCGAGCTAGTCTATGATGACGACGACGATGACGATGCAAAAGAGAGGGATCCCTCCCTGGTGGAGGGCAACACTCTCCCATCTCAATACGAATGTCCAAAGAAGTATTACGGCAAAGCATTAGAGGATTTAGATAAAGCTATAAAAGACAAGGTGAGTTTTCCCACACCCGAATGAACCCATTTAAAATATCCCAGATCTTTGTATAAAATTTCGAATATATGGCGGCCGTGGCCAGTTTGTAAAATTCGGATAAAATGGAATAAATGTTTTAGGATTGATTGAATCTTCGCAGGTTGGCGTAATTATCGCCTATCGTTCTTTGACCAGAATTGAATAAGCCTTCACTGTTCCAAAACTTGTTACTTTGACGGAACATCAATATAACAAAATGCATGAACTTTCTGAATACGCTTTTCTTCGATTTTATGCTACTTATAGGTCAAGTTGCAGATTATAAGTTGGCACAAAGTTGGACAAAAGGTTTAGCTTAAAAAATGCCTTCGGTTTGGAAAGGATTTAAATGAAGCCGCAATTCATACATTTAGTCCCTCGCTTCTGTTACATTGACGCAAGTCCACGTCAAAGTAGATCAGTAATATTTGGATTTTCGTAATACAATAATAGTGAGAAACTAAATGCAATTACATTTACAAACTATTTTCTGATATACAAAATTTTTAATCGAATGCAGTTTTCAAAAGTGAAAATTGAAATGCCAGGAACCATTCTCATGGATTGGGGTTACTTGATCCAGGAGCTAGAAATTCTAAACTCTGTCAACAATAAAAAAGTAATAATGACACGATAAAGTTCTATGAGTGATATTTCTATTCCGTTTCCACGTTATTAAGTTGCATAAATAATGGATGGTTATGTTAAAGATTCAACGAAGATGTCTATTGTTTATCACTGTGAGGTCCCCTATTTGTAATTAATCACTTTTTATCATGGTTTAGGATTACGCTTTTCATATCTGAATATAATTAAGAATTATTTCTAGCCATACGTGTGTTAATCTCTGCTTGAGATGCTCATAAAATACCTCGTCTCTAAATGATCAATAATCTATTAAAGTTCCTATAGTCGTAGACAATAACGTTGACCACGATTGTAAACGTCACAAATTTTATGCAATACTGTGATATCAGTGGGGTCATTGAAGGAAAGAATTTCTCGTAATGCTTATCCTCATATGTTCATATTCAAATTCATTCGCTTGAATATTTTATCTATTCCCAAACGGTAAGGTGTATTGTCGTGATTGGCAGATGTATTGTTTATTTTACTAATGAGTTAGGAATGATTTTTAAAAGAAGATCTCTCCCTTGAAACTGTTAATAAAATTATGATCTGCTGATATATAGACACTGCTTTATCATACGACAGGTTCCATATGTTGCTGTGATGCGCGCTTCTTAAAAACAACCGCTGGCGAAAGCTTATTGGCAATCGATGTCTCCTTTGCCTGGGTATTAACGTATAGGTTCACAACTTCCTCTATCATTTAAAACTATCACTTATTTTATATTATGAGATACTAGGTTGCTTTTTGTAAGTGCTTTTCGTAAAGCAGCTATGTTTAACGTTAAATGTCATTTTGGTGGCGGAGGGACTCCTCAGTAAAGGGTGACGTATATCGTTTAGCAAATCGAACGCTCGTTTCTGGCGTTACTCCCCGTTTAGTATAAAAGGCCCGATCCCTGAATATTACTCAAGGGTTCACAGGCTCGAGGTCGTTGTGTCAACACCTCTAACAGCATAATTAAGTATGTCATAGATTGTCACGAATTTATAAAAAAAAGATTTTTATTTTGACAAATCAATTTCACATTTATGAGTGAAATTTCAGGATCTTCTATTTGTGTATAATAAAGAAAATTGACATCTAAATTTCGCCTTAACGTCTAGGTTAGTTGAATGGAGGTCTGAAAATTGTGATTAATATACACGAAGGAGAAAAGGACAAATGAGGTATCGTTGTAAAACTAGGACTTCAGCTTCACTTGTACCTAAGTTTGAATTTTGGGGCAAAAATTGCAAAAACACCCGTTTCCATAGCAACCATTTAAAATATAATCAATAAGGGGCGGGGTCAAAATATCAATGTTCATATGGAGACGAAAGTAATTTCGTTTGGACAACAACCCCCCCACCCCCCCCCCCCCCCCCCTCTAGACGAAAGCTTAGGTCACTTCAAAAAACATTGATTAATAATCGTATCCTATTTGCCGGGTTATTATTACGGTGAATTAACACACGTTCGCAATTTAACTGCATTGAACTCTTCAAAAGGAGGAGGGAAAAGTACGAAATTTATTTGAAAAATGATCGAATTATCGTATCACACAAAAAAGCTCACGAACTATTGAAAACAAGCCTTTTTAACAGAACATAGCGCCAGAAAAAGTGGGTAAGTCCAATTATTTTTTGTATATCAGATCCGAATTATCGATGTTTTTTTGGTCAACGAAAGTGCCCAAACCCCCCCCCCCCACTCGCGAAAGTACTTTCGTCTCCATATGAACATCGATATTTTGACCCCGCCCCTAAATCAGAAATCACATTTTGGAACATAGAACGCCTGCTATTTGTCCAATTCTAACGATACATATATCAAAATGAAGCTATTGACGTCCTCCTGTTTATTTTCAAGGAAATGTGCAAATAAGCTTATTTGCATATTTATTATGACGTCATAAGTAGATTCTTGAGCCGATTTGAGATATATTTTGGTGATATATCTGATATTATAATGACACATTCATTGTAATTGAAAATGTGTTGGTAGACATAACTACTGTACATATCATCATTGGAGTTCGAAATAAATTGGCTGCAAGCTTTGAAAAATGCTAAAAACAGCCGTTTTCATGGCAACATTTAAAATTTAATCAGAAGTCATATTTTTGAACATAGTACATATGTTCTTGGTCAGATTTTAATGATATTTATACCAAATTGAAGCTATTGAGGCCCCCTGTTCATAATTAACAAGATATGCCAATTTGCTAATTTGCATATTTATTGTGATGTCATAATTATATTTTTTCAACCAATGTTTAGGCAATTTTGAGATATTTTTGATATTAATGATAACATATTAGTTTTAATTATTAATAAACTGGTAGAATTACTACTACTTAAATATCATTATTGATGCTAGAAATAATTTGAGTTTTAGCTTTTAAATATGTATGAAAAGTCTACTTACTAATGCGTATGAAAAGTATCCTTATTGGTAACTTGTCCAGAAAAAGCATTTCTTGGTTAAAGGAATTGAGGGCAGAATGCACTTAAACCAAAATGTATTCATTTATCCTGTGAAGTTAGTATTTTTTAAATAATATCATATTGGTATTAGAACTATATTATTAATTTTATTCAAAATCCATTTTAGGATTAATCATATGTAATAGTACACAGCTTGGCGTATGAAAGATCTTCCAAATGAAACAAAGCAGTTCTATTAAGAATTTATATTGGCTGTTGTACATGCATTCTTTGAACAATCAATCTCTGAATAATGTTTTCAGAATCAATATAAACAGATTAATTTATCTCTAAGACAATTTCAACAAACTGGATTTTACAAAACTCCCCTTATTTCTTCAAAATGGACTGATCCAGTTGACTCGCCTGGAGCCGCCATATAGTTTTTATACGGGAAGCTTATTGGAACCCTTTAAGTGGTACTTCATTTCAATATTCATTATGTTTTTTACACATCACCCTGCACTAACAGTATACTTGCGATTAACTTCCCCTCCATATTACATATCCCTCTTGGGGAAACATCCTAGATTGTTCTCCATAACATAATTGAAATAACACATTTTGGGAATTTAGTTCTGAAAGATATATTGCTTATGAGAAAAATTGTCTGGTGTGTGGAAAGAGTATTCTGTGAAAAATGCTATTTGCACAATTCAGCATATTAGTGATAAGAATTTCAATATGAAACAAAGGATGGTGCCAATAAACTCATTACGTACTAAGGCTTTGTCAACCAAATGTAGCCAAAAATCTTAAGGGCCATATTCGTTATTCATAATAAGGTAGATTGGTAGTTGAAGTTGAATTCCCGTGGTTTGCTTCATTGAAACTGGAACATTAAATGGGTAGGCAGACGATGTAATCATTAAATATACCTAGTCACTCATACAGAAATAGATATAGATACTTTTAGGAACTAATACGCCATTAATGGTCGTTAATTAACAGGACAAAGGTTATGTTTGATGTAATGAAACAACATCATAGATTGATTCTACCCAGATCTGTATGTGATGGTTGCAGGCCTGTCAACTTGGGTACGTTTTTTTTCGACTTTCGTATTTTTGCTGTCTCGGCCTTTTTTAGAAATTTTTCTACAGAAATATTTGGGCTTGACAATTACCAACTAAAATGCGTATTTGCGTGACATTTTCTGTCACACAAAAAAACTGGCGTGACTTCAAATTCCTCAGCAAATGCGTGACAAATACGCAAATTGTGGGACAGTTGACAGGCCTGTGGTGGCCTTATGTACACAGGCCTACTTGGTTTATTCGGTAGCGTTTATTCTATATGTGAAAATTATTAGCGTATACTGCCCCATGGAAAAGAGCATTGACATAGCAATAATGAGAAACTGTGTTGTTAATTCAATTTAGCCTGCTTACCTCTGATGTACACTATTCAAATAATCTCTAATGTTTTTAGTATTAATTTTTATTAGTATCATTTTTTGTTTTCATTTCTCCCTCTGGGTTACTGGGATCATAATGACCCTTGTATATTAGTAAAAAGTGCTACTTAGCCTGTATTACAATATGCAGTGATTACTTCTATCTTGCCTTTTTATTTGATGACAAATCAATCAGGTTCCTTTTGTCATCAGCTTCCATGGGGAAATTTCCAATAATTAATGGATTGGAATGGATTCACTTCCATAACACTAATGTGTGAGATGAAATATAAACATGGGGAATTGGAAGTAGAAATTGTCATTAGACGAACTTAAGACGAAATCCGTCACTTGGTGAAAATTTACAGTAACTTATAATCAATGTGTTTTTAGCAAAACTATCCACTATATCAGCTTTTTGAAATTTCAAAATGTTAATACTTCAAACTGAAAAAATGAATTAAACATGAACCCAAAATAAATG